TATATATATATATATATATATATATATATATATATATATATATATATATGACATTTATAAATTCTGATCTGCTAGATTATTTTACTCAGCCAATATATCTGCATACATGCCTTCCAATTTTTAGGGTGATTATTTTAAATAAAAAATATCATTAAAAATCATTCTAGTATAGAATTTCTTTGAAGAAAGTGGATTATAGAGCAGCAGGGGTATATAAATTGGGTAAGGGTTTCAGGTCTTGGGAAGCAGGTATGTTTCTCTGGTACAGAGGAAATGTGAGTTTTAAGCAGCTGTCTTCTCTGTGTCCTTCTTATAGTCAACCTGAACAATTTCTTTTCATTGGTCACGGCACCTCTGGGAAAGGATCACCTGTTGCCAAGAGTGTGGAGGACAATGCCTGGCGAGAATCTCAATGTAATCTACCGGCGCAGAGTTCTCAGAAGGCCACAGTGAGGATGTGCCCCAAATCCAATCATAAAACCACAGGTTCCAGAAGCTTTGGTTCTATCTCATGCCATAACGTCCCCTCTTATTTTACCCTTCATCATTTGCCATTCAGCCAAATAATCAAGATTATTTATACTCGATATAAAGCCACATCACAGTTAAATAATAAACTTCCTTGAAAAAGCCCAGAGTGCTCTGTGCAGCTCCTGTATGCTAGATTATAAATGGGTATTATCACTATCCCCATCTCCCACCCTCTCAAATGTAAAACCCTACAAGGATATTTCGTGGCAACTTTTTAGTTCTCTTTACCTTTCAAAGCAGGCTATCATCTCTGGGTTTTAAAAATGTCCATATCTTTGCAGGGGTTTTTCTGCTCTAATAAGGAAAGGGTATAGAACATTTTAAAATCTGTCTTTAAAAGTTGATAGGAAGGACAAGTTTGCAACTCTCGGAAGTATCTTAAGCAGGATTTACTACTATCTCATTTGGCTTATTTGCTGGTAATTGCATTCCAATAGAAGAAGGATGCTGGTTTTAGAGATCTAAAAACTACATTATTTCAATAGCAAAAGCATTCATGTTAGAAATATAATAGTAATATACATATACAAGCAAACAAACACACTCACACGAGGATAGCACAAAATAAAAAACCTATGCGAAGAAGTATTTTGTCTTTCCTAGACTATGCATTCAATTAGTCACATCCCTCTGATAACAATTTTATTCAACTAAAATCCATTAATTGTTTGAACTATTGCATTGCTATTTGGGTCCAAGCAGGAAAACCCTTAGGACAGTAATACACAAACTAAGTGATTTCAAAAAGCTTCAAATTTTTCAAAATGAAAAAATTTTCAAAATGAAAATGTTCGTATTCTGCTTCAGAAATCTCTCATCAGTCAATGTTTTAAAAATACACAGGATGGTCCCTGTAATAATCATTATTTCACACTAGTTTTGCTTATATTAATAAAAGCACATTTTTGTGACAAACGAAAACATATCTTTGATGGTAGAAAAGCAGATATTTGGATGAGGACATCTTTCAATTTACCTTCATCCGAGGTGGATCTAAGTGACAAGAGCAGGGTGAAACTCTGCCTTATTTAGGAAGAGGCTTGTTAACACACTACTGATGACTCAGGCAAATCAGATGGCAAATTACCTTTGAGAGGTCCCCAGCCTCCAAATAGAAGCAGATAACAAACACATTCCAGGTAACCCAGAGGACTAGCCAGACGGCATACTGTAGAAAAGCAAAAGAAAAATAACACAAAATTAATTTTGAATCAGCTGAGTAAGATTTAAATAAAACTCTAACTTTGGAACACCCAAATCTTAAGATTAGTGGGTAATACTATATTGCTTCTAAGGAATAGGCTGAGTTATACATTTTTCTCTCTGTTGATTTTTTTTTTCCTCACTGTTATGGTCTCATTGTAGCCCAAACTTGCTTAGGGATAACTTTTAGGCTTTTATACAAAAGATACAGTTGCCCACATCTATGTTTTAAGGAGGGGTGATTATGTTTCCCAGATAGCTAACAAAACTGGATTTCCAACAAATATATCAAATAAAGATCATCCAAAAGAGGCTTATTATCTTTCTTTAGCAAAGTCAATCCCATGCTTGATAATATACAAATTTTCTCCAAGTTTTCTGGTGTCATCTTCAAATCAGTCCCCATGCTTCAGTCCCATCTAAACAGCTTTATTTCTTTGGTTTCTTCCTTTCCTGTCTCTCTTCACCTTCTTTTTTCTCTCATGATCTCCCATTAGAGTGACCACAGAATTACTATGTCTGATTTTACACAGTTAGCTATTCAGTGTATTTTCATCACTGATGACAAATTTTTCTTACCAAGATATATTTCTCAGCATTTGATCAACTAAACTATATTGGGCATATAGAAGGCAACATGCTAGAAGCACACTGAGGACACGAAGACCAAAGATAAATTCTCCCTGAATTCAAGTCAAGTTATGGAGACAGATAAGTAAATAAATTATTATACAAGAATCATAAAAAAATGTATAGTCCGAGCACAAGGAAAGAAGATGGGAGAAGTATATAAACGATCCTGGGAAAAAGTCCTACAAAACTTAACAGAAAAGATGAAATACCTCCCACAGAGGTGAAGCAAGCTATTTTGTGGACTTGACCAAATAAAAGTATGGAGGTTATAAGGGCTCTAATGGAAAGTGCTGGAAACAAAGGAAACATCAGGTATGAACTCTATAAAATAAGATAAGAGGATATCATGTCATTTCTCTGCTAAATAAATTTCAATGGTTCCCATCCTTTATATGGTGCAATCCAAAATTTTTATTTCATAGTTCAAGAACCTTGATGATCTTATACATATTATTTTTTTCAGACACACGTTTCAGTTCATCTCTTAAATCATTAGGGATTACAGGCACATCAGCTTACTTGCTGTTGAGGGGACACCAAAAGCTATTTCTTACTCCTGTACCATTTTGTATATTACTTCTCTATCCTTTAAAAACTTTTCTCTTCTCTAGGTACTTCTTTTACCACCTATCAATATTTTGTTTTTCACCAAAGTTCAATTTAAATATCGATTCTGTAGTGATAACCAATCAGAATTGATTTAGCCCAATAAGTGGTGCTTAGTGCTCCAATGAGATCTTGCCTTAATTTCATTTCAAATGTCTTATTTCTAATTATTGTATATTCCCCTCCAATGCCCAATCATAAGCTCCCTTGAGAAAAGGAGATTTTTAAAATGTATGTTTATATCCCTAAATTATTAACTTTGTACAAAACAGGCTTCAGAAAATATTTTGCAAATCAGTGAATCAATGAGGAATAATACAGAGAAAATTTCCCTATTTTCGGATGGAGAACCCATTCTCCTGTCCCAGACCTGATTTTTTTTTAAAGATTTTATTTATTTATTTGACAGAGAGAGAGAGGTCATAAGCAGGCAGAGAGGCAGGCAGAGAGAGAGAGGGGGGAGCAGGCTCCCTGCTGAGCACAGAGCTCATGCAGGCTTAGATCCCAGGACCCTGAGATCATGACCTGAGATGAAGGTAGAGGCTTAACCCACCGAGCCAGCCAGGTACCCCCAGACCTGGTTTTAATGAGAATACTCTGAACCCATATGTAGTGTGAGAAGTGAGGGTCCTACATGATGAGTTTATGTAATACTAAATCGTGACTCAGCTGTTTTCCAGATGATAGATTTACCTTACTGCTGAATATGTATATTGCTCACTGAAAATAAAGTAAGAGCAATAAAATAAATGGTCCAAGACAAAAGAACTAGTTTGAGAGTCTGTATAAGGTGAGGGTTAGGGACTGGAAACAGAGTCAGAAAGCTAGACAGATGGAGCAAGGAATGATAGTTATAAAGCAGAGATCCAATGAATATTTAAGTTTGCTCAATATTACAAAGTGCATATTCATTTTACAATATTAAAAAACTAAAAATCTAGACTTATGTGACTCTTTGATAGATTTGGATCTGTTTTAGAAATATAATGAAGTGTTGGGCCATACTTTAAAGGTAACAGGTTAAGAAAAAAATTAAAAGTGTTTATAGTTTCCAGTAACTGGTTTGACTATAAAAAAAATAAAAGAGTGACTGACTGAAGTGTTATATCCTATCCTTTGTTCATGGTGATACAATTTTCCCACCTTATTTATAATGGGAAGACAAATAAGTGCTATTTTCTAAAAGTCAAAGTAGCAGAATTAGGGGCACCTAGGTGACTCCATGGTTAAGTGTCTGCCTTCTGCTCAGGCCATGATCCCAGGGTCTTGGGATCAATCCCTGCATCTCATCAGGGCTCCATGCTCAGTGGGGAGCCTGCTTCTCCCCCTCATGCTGCCTGCTGCTTCCCCTGCTGTGCTCTCTTTCTCTGTCAAATAAGTAAGTAAGTAAATAAATAAATAAATAAAATCTTTTAAAAAAAATAAAAGCCAAAATAGCAGAATAACTGAAATATTTGGTAAGAACTGATGAGACATATATTGTATTACATATATTAAATATTTCTGAAAAAAATTGTCATTGGTAGCCAGACATCCTGATGGGGCATTGAAGAATGTCAATGCTGTAGCTTTTCGGTTTCACAATCGAAATTATATTTTAAGCTCCTTAAATGCCAAAAAGGTTATCTGCATCCATAAGGTATAAATGTAATAGACACTACCTCAATATTACATATTGAATATACAATAAGAATTTGGGCTTTTCTCCAGACACATTTAGACATCACTTACACTTACTTACCTCAATGTGTATGTGCAGATCTAAATTATACTTAGCTTAGTTGAAAAAAAAGCTGAAAAATTTATGTTTCAGTCACCAAAATTAATAATTTTATGAAGGATAGGTGAGATAGTGGGTTACAAGCAAATGAATAGCACACAGAGATTAGGAACTTGGGATCTAAGGTCAAGTTCTGTCACTTGGGAGCTCTGTGGCTATTTCATGCCAGAGGGTCTCACTACATTTTTGTTTCCTCAAATGTAAAACAGACTTAGTAATAGGAGCAAACACACATAGTTTATATAAAAATGGAATGACAGACTGTTTGAAAATAGTCAATATTTGAGTTCTTAACTACCTGCTGCCATTTTATTATTATTATATCACCACTTCTTGTTTAAATAATATAGCAGTAATCCCCAATTTCTTATCTCCTTAGGATTCTAAAAATATATTTTTTACATTAATGTAAAACATTCTTCTATCTAACTGAATTTGCAATCTAGACGTGTTTTCCTGAATGCCACATATTCTTCCCTAGAATGTTCTTTTTTGATACCTTAATGCCAATATTGATAGATCAATGACATTTTATGAAACAAATCTTTCTTCATTTAATTTCATTAAAACTATAATTTATTATTTCTGACTTATCATCTTAAATAATTTTAAATCATTCTATGCCTTGCTTTATGAGCTGCTTTTTTATCATACTTATTAATAATAATTTTTTTAAAGAGTTATTTATTTGAGGGGGGGGAAGTGAGGGGGCAGAGGGAGAGCAGAGGGGAGAGAATCTCAAGCAGACCCCCTGCTGAGGATGGATTCCTACATGGGGCTTGATACTAGGACCCTGAGATCATAACCTGAACCAAAATCAAGAGTTGGATGCCTAACTGACTGAGCCACCTGGCACCCACTTTGTTCTTCTTCGTATCTCTTTTCTCCCAGAGTAACTTAGAAGGATATGTCCAGAGGAAACATAACCAATATTCTTCCCATCTTTGAATTTGCTTGCATAATTTTCATTTCATCCTGTACTTCACTACAAACCAGTTGGCCTCATAATGGACTCTACATCATTAAATATTTACAAAAAAGAATGATCATGTTTAGTGGTGTGATACCTTTAATAAACACAGAAACCCACACTGTGCTATAAGAGGTAATCCTCTCACTTCCCAAAAACAAGGCTTTATCTCATTTAACTTTATTCATTAACTTTCTCTCATTTAACTTCTATCCCCTTTTCTTCATTCTCCTCTTTTTATTTATTTTTCATACTTGGCTTCTCTCATTTTAGTAGGTGGCATTTGCCTAAATCAAATCATCCCCAAATGAATTTTGCCTAGTTTCTTTCTTTTTTTTTTTAAAGATTTTATTTATTTATGTGACAGAGAGAGATAACAAGAAGGCAGAGAGGCAGGCAGAGAGAGAGAAGGAAACAGGCTTCCCGCTGAGCAGAGAGCCCGATGCGGGGCTCGATCCCAGGACCCCGAGATCATGACCTGAGCCGAAGGCAGCGGCTTAACCCACTGAGCCACCCAGGCGCCCCTGCCTAGTTTCTTAAATATAGATTTTGCATTTCCTTGTAATCTGGCCTATGATTTTTTTTTTTTTTTTGGTCAATTAAACCCTATCTTTCACACCGTTCTTAAAATCACGCATCATAATTATTAAAGAATATGAATATCTGTACTAACTTCTTCCCAGTTGCTACAGCTACAGCTGATATGATATAATTGACAATTGCTCAGTTTGACTATAATTGAAAGCGATGTCCTGCCCAGGAGAGATAACCTAACAACATAACAAAGTATCACACTTGCCAGATACCACCTTCCTTGTAGTTATCTGCTATAAAACTAATTTTTCTTGAGCCTCTTTTTCTGTGAAAAAGAAATCTGGTATTTTATGTTTCAGGTTAAAAATACAAACAATGATGAGATAACTGTGGTGACAGAAAATCCCATTGTATGATGAAATTCATTCTTTAAGGGCTGATT